ATATCATTTAAAATTAAAAATCTAATTTTTCTAGAACTAATATGCATTTTACAATTAAAAAAATATTATTAATAATTAAAAGTGTCACAAAAACACTACTCTAAAATTTAAGTGTGTCTCACCTATATCATAAATGCCATTAAACATCCGAATATTTTAATGTTAAAATATGTTAATATTCCGAAGTCTCGATAATCAAAGTTAGAGGGCTGCTTGTGCCCAAAATTTTAGTTGCAATGTGTAAAAGTAGTCCGAGAAATGGTTAATCTTCACACAATTTCATTTCTTTTTATTCATTAAAAAGTAAATCATTTAATATGATAAAAAATTAAATCCCTCACTTTAACTTTAAATTAAAATTTTTTTGTGAATAGATATTAATTGGATCAACATCTTACTAGTACGTTGCCCAACAAATTGTTAAAGTCATATAAATTCTTTTTTTTGGTAAACAATCATTATTGTATTTTAAAATATTAATATATAGATTACTTTTAATATGTTAAATAGTAAATATTAATTATTTTATTATTTATTAACTAATGATTAAATTATTTTTGGTGTCAAACTAAACAGAATTAATATTTTAAAACATATTTTTTTATTTATTTTTAGTAATTTTAATATGAGTTTTTGATTTTTTAAATATGAATTTTTAATAAAAACTTAACATATTATATAAATAATAATTTAAATATTTTATCAAATAAAAATATTTAAAATGAATTATATAGAAAAAAAATATTTTAAATTATTATTCATATAAATTATCACATTTTTATTTAAAATTTATGTTTAAAAACTTTAAAATTACTGTCAACGACCTAAATAATTAATTAATCATCTCATTTAATTGAAAATAAGAAATGCTAAATTTAAGTCATATAGCATGCGAATGGGGTGAGATATTGTTATTTATTTTTAACATATATCTAAAGGGTATATATTGAAAAAAAAATTAAAAATTTATTCCTTTTATATCATAATAACTATCTTTTTTTATTTTTTCTTTAAATTAAAAATGTATAAATTATTTATTTATATTATTCTTAACAAAAATTAATAAAAGATAAAATAAATTTTTTTATAATAAAATAATTAATTAAAAGAAATAAATAATAAAATAAAACTAAAAACAAAAAATATTTTTTATTTAAAAAAGTTAAAAGAATAACATTTAATTTAAAATAAATTTAAAATAAAAAAAAACAATTATTTTAAAACAGTATATTAACTCCAACCATTTATTGTGGGTTCTTAACCATTTCGATGATTCCGGGAGTACGGATGTCAGAAAAGCAAACCTGCTGAGCTCAGAGTACCTGTTTCCCGCGACTCCAGGAACGGACAAGACAACTAAATCCTTCGTAAAAAATGGTTTTTAAAAAGTGACGTCATCTGCACAATATCCCTTATTAAAAATTTAAATTATCGAGGATAAAGAAAATACTGAGGCCTGGGTACTGTAGTTATGCTCGTTAATGGAATTGTATTTTTTAAAAATAAATAATTATGATGTCTATAATTATTAATTACAAATTAATTTATCACTTACGCTTCACGATCTAACAATTTTAAATCGGTTTATAAAATACATTTTTTTAATTCGAAGTTTGGAGTTTGAATCCCTCTTCTCTCATATTTGTAACTTTATTTTAAAAAAAAATTACAAATTAATTTTAATTTATAAATAATAAATATTATTAATTATTTTTAATAATTAAAGTAAAAAAATTTATATTTTTAACATAATTTTAATATTTTTATTGATAACCATAACTATACCTCTACTTTAGTATCATTGTATTATGTTTGTTCAACTTTATTTGTTTAATTTTTAATTTAAACATTTAAAGTTAATTATTCTCTTTTTAATTTTAAAATGTTATTTAATTATTGTATTTTTATTTTATAAATAAATTAAAATGCATATTATAATAAATACACTTATTTTTTTATGGATAAATACTTTTATTTAAATATTAATTAACTAAAGGTAAATATGAAATGAGAAATGTTAAGCGCATTCAGCCTTTATTTTTTAAAAAATAAAAAATAAAATTACTCCACACTACTCAAGTCCAGATTCAGCCCCATGTTGAGTATTCATAACATTATTTATATAAAATTTTATAAATCAATTATTAGTTTATTAAAGACACAAACTGGGCCAACTAAGGGTTTGCTTAGTGGGAGGGCCTCCCCTATTTGGATAACTTGAGAAATTTTGAAGGAACTAAAAGTAAAAAATAAAATAAATTCTTTTAAACTAAATATGCTTTTTAATAACGTTGAGAAATAATGTAATTTAATCAGTCAAAGGATTCGTCTCTATCCTCATCTCAATTTCTCTTGAATTAGACATACTTTAAGGGTGAAATTGTATTATAGGAATAATTTTTTATATTATTTTTTGATATAATTTTTATATATTATTAAATAAATATATTTAATGCTATAAATTTTATATAAATAAAAAAATAATTATTTAAATAATATATAAAATATATTTTAAAAATAATATAAAAAATTATCTCAAAATTATCTTTGTTTAAAGGTGTATTTGGGATATAATTTTTTGAAAAACAGAATCTAAAAAAGAAACACAAATAATTGACCTTCCCTAGGAAATTTAATTTTTTTGACACGTAAATCTAAGCATAATATAATTGATTACAAACAAGAAGGTAATAAAAAATAAAAAAGAAAAAAAGAAAAACAAGAAGGGTAATCAATTATATAAAAAAGGAAATATGCAATTATATCTCATATAATCACTTGTTTCTTTTTTAAAAGAGATTATATCATTTGTTTTTGACAAAAAGTCTTAGAAAAGTAATTTCTTAAAAAAGTTGTGACATAATTAATTACCTTTTTTTTATAATTAATTATATTGTGCCCTAAATTTATATGCTTAAAAATGAAATTTCATAGGTTAAACCAAAAAATAATTTTTGTGTGGTTTCTCCAAAAGTTTTTTTTATCATAAAATTGCGTACCAAACACAGAGAAAATGTTATAAAAGTATATTAATTTTATCATTTTTATTTAAAAATATGAATCTTTAAAAATTTTAAATTATGTGATAAGTTTTTACTTTATCTATTTAAAATAAAAATTTTACAATTAAAATTATTATTTTTTACATTATCATTATTGTCATTTAATAAATATATCTTTAAAAAATTTATATATTTATTTTTTAAAACAAATTTATTATCAAATTTAAAGATCTAAAAACATCCTCTACTCATATAAAAAAATACTAATAAAATTTATATAATTATATATACTTTTTTTCCTCAACACTCTTTACCTTATATTTAAATTGGAAAAAAAAAAAGATAAAAGAGAAGAAAGAAGAATTTTTTCTCATCATTTTCTGCCTTTTGTCTCTTATTTGTTTATTTAAATAAATACTTTAATTAAAAAATAAAGTAAATAACATTTTTTTCTTCTCTCCCCTGTAATTTTTTTATAATTAAATAAAATATTTTTTTATCTTGTTTTTTATTCTCCTTAATCTAAACATACGTTTAAAGTTGGTAAGGAGGCATATTATCTCAATTTACTCATATCGTATCTATCTCTGATTCACATGCCAAAACTTTGCTCTGATGCACTTTTTAAGTCACGGGTTTTCTTAATCTTTCAATCAACGCCGACTTGCCACATAGCAATGACATTAATCCATCCTTATCCAAAATTTGTCATTAGGCAGAAGAAGGTTTTATCTAGTCAGCATAAAGTAATATCTGACGTGGCATATCTAGAATCCTACTTCCAGCTGTCATACATCGCCGACACATCATCTCTGATGATGTTCGCTTGTTACCGTAAGGATAAAACGAACTAATTAACGCTGTTTTCAACAAGTTTTGACTTTTTGTTAGACCATCTCGGATCGAACGGTGGAAAATGTGGGGAGAGTTACGACTAAGGGGTCGTTTGTTTTAGAGTTTCCAAAAACAACTACAAGATAAGGTGCTGGTTGTAATTTAATAAATTAAATACTTTAAGTTTTAAATAATAGGAATTATTAATTGTTAAATATTATTATTAATTATAAGTTTCATATGAATAATTAATTTAAACACCATTTAAAGGAATTTTCATTTTTTAATACTATAATATAATGATGTATTGTTATTAAATATTAGTAAGAGTTTAATCAAAATTAGTATTTATTAATTTAAAATTTTTGATTTGAGATTAGATTAAAAATTCAAATTTTTGTAATATAAAGCAGTTAATACTCAATATACAAAAAAAAAACTATTACTAAATAAATATATATAATATTATAGATAAATTTTTAAATAAAAAAGATTGTTACAGTATAATAATTATTTTTCATATTTTAAAGAATAAAAAAATTTTTATTTTAATTTTATCATAATCTCTCGAATTTAGTTGTATTCCTAATATAGAAAGTCTTTTTATTTTTTATTTATTTTGTTTAGAATAAAATAAAAAAATGAAAATTGTTTCTAATTAAAAATTTTCAACTAAAATTTTGATTACAATAATATCTTAGAAAAAAAATTAAAACATTTTAAAATTTAAAATGTTAAAATATTTAATTATTATTATTAAATATATAAAATATAATATAAATTTAATTTTATTAAATTTATTATATAATTTTATGAAGGGTTACAACTTTGAGAGACAAAAAAATTCGAAATCCAACTCTTGAATTAAGAGTTTACATACCATATGATTTATAATTGTTGAATTAAAAAATTAAATATAAATTTATCATATAATTATTATTAATCATCCCCTATTACTATAAATCTCTTGTGTAACAACTTATTTTATTATGTTATAAATATATATATATATTTTTATATTTTTAATGCAGTATATCACTATTAAGAAGGTGGATATTTTTTATTAATATTTTCTTGACAGCTCAACATTTTATCCTTACTCCCCTGAAGAATTTTCGACAATCTCCTCTATAAATCCTCCTCTCATTCTGCTACAAAAGCTCTATCCTCGTCTCTTTGCATTCCTCTTATCTCTTCATTTCCATTCTTCTCATCTTACATTTTTCTCTTCTCTCCCCCTGTTTGGTCTGTTTAGAAAGAGGAAAAATGCCGGCCGTCGGAATTGTCCCGACTGGTGGTAATGGCACCGAGTACCCCGGAAGACTTACTCCCTATGTCCTCGTAACATGTATGGTTGCGGCCATGGGTGGTTTAATTTTCGGCTATGATATTGGAATTTCAGGTATTTATCTGTACAGATCCAATGATTTCTTGTGTTTTGCTCTGTTTTTCCTGACGGTGAATGATTCCGGCAGGTGGGGTTACGACGATGCCGACGTTTCTGAGGAAGTTTTTCCCGTCGGTCTACGAACGGCAGCAAAGGAACAAGTCGACAAACCAGTACTGTCAATACGACAGTGAGACGCTGACCCTGTTCACGTCGTCCCTGTACCTGGCGGCGCTTCTGTCGTCGCTGGTGGCTTCCATCGTGACGCGCAAACTCGGGAGAAAACTCTCCATGCTCTTCGGCGGTTTGCTCTTCTTTGCCGGAGCTCTCATCAACGGCTTCGCCAAAGCAGTCTGGATGTTGATCGTCGGCAGAATTTTATTGGGTTTCGGCATCGGCTTCGCTAATCAGGTAAATTAAATGCCTTAAAAAAATTGAATCTTTAATATCTTTATATGTGTGGAGATATCTGGTCGTATGTTTTGGGATTCTTGTTTCGTCTTTGTTTCATTCCAAGACACCAAGAAATGTGGTGTCTGAAAACAGACACAAAAAGTTGATGTCTTTATTTTGTTTTCCGTTTTGCTAAATCCAAATTCTTCAGATCTATTTTCTTAATGCTTTTGGGCGTCAAAACATCAGACAATTTCTGACCGGTTTCCAATCCAAATATTGGTTTCTCACTTTTTCTCGGTTTATTTACCTTTTTGAACTCAGCTTCTAGATCTGAAAACTCATGAAAAATCATATTTTCTTAGTATCCAAACAAGTGGGAAAAGAGTTAATTGGTTTGTGGGTCAGAATCAGAAATTACACGTTTTTCTCTGCGTAACATCTCTTTGCTCCATTTCTCCGCGACTCTTTACTCGTTTGATGCAAAAGCATTGAATATGAAATTGAATTATAATAACGTCTTTATCTCATTATATTAACACGACGTTCATCCGAAGAAGGAAAAAAAAATTGTTTTTAATCCAAATCCATCATATGGAACCCAACAAGGCGTGCTCTTTTTTTTTTTTTTTTTTTTTTAATAATAATTAATTACATAATTTAGAATTTAATATTGTGATAATTACAGTCTGTGCCACTCTACCTGTCCGAGATGGCCCCCTACAAATACAGAGGAGCCCTGAACATAGGCTTCCAATTGTCCATCACGGTCGGAATCCTTGTTGCCAATGTGTTGAACTATTTCTTTTCTAAGATCAAAGGTGGTTGGGGATGGCGGCTGAGCTTGGGTGGTGCGATGGTGCCTGCAATTATCATCACAGTTGGATCACTAGTCCTTCCGGACACACCCAACTCCATGATTGAACGTGGCCAATCAATTGAGGCCAAAGAGAAACTTAGACAAATCCGTGGAGTTGACAATGTTGATCAGGAGTTTGATGATCTTGTTGCTGCTAGCGAAGCATCAAAGCTGGTGGAACATCCCTGGAGAAATTTGCTCCAAAGGAAGTACAGGCCTCATCTTACTGTGGCTATCCTAATCCCATTCTTTCAACAACTTACCGGGATTAACGTTATCATGTTTTACGCGCCTGTTTTGTTCAATACAATTGGATTTAAGAACGATGCTTCGCTTATGTCTGCTGTGATCACTGGTACTGTTAATGTTATTGCGACTTTAGTCTCAATTTATGGTGTTGATAAGTGGGGAAGAAGGTTCCTTTTCCTCGAGGGTGGAGCTCAAATGTTAATCTGCCAGGTACCTAATTGGCTTTGGTAATTCTTTTTGAGTTTGCAAGTTTCAATGATTGTGGTGCTTGACTCTCTATTGTTAATTTTCAGGTTGTTGTGGCTGCTTGCATTGGTGCTAAATTTGGAGTTGATGGAAACCCTGGTGATTTGCCTAAGTGGTATGCCATTGCTGTGGTACTTTTCATCTGCATCTATGTTGCTGCATTTGCTTGGTCTTGGGGACCCCTAGGATGGTTGGTGCCTAGTGAAATTTTCCCGTTGGAAATCCGTTCAGCTGCTCAGAGTATCAATGTTTCCGTCAACATGCTTTTCACATTTTTAATCGCACAAATTTTCTTGACAATGCTCTGCCATTTGAAGTTTGGTCTGTTCCTCTTCTTTGCCTTCTTTGTTTTGGTGATGTCAGCCTTCGTCTACCTCTTCCTCCCTGAGACCAAGAACATTCCAATTGAAGAGATGGCTCTAGTATGGAAGTCACACTGGTACTGGTCACGATTTGTCGATGACCTTGATCACCCTAATGGAGGCTTGGAGATGCGCAAAGGAAACACAAAGAATGTGTAATCCATTATGGTTCTCTGTGTTTTTTTTTTTTTTTTTTTTTTTTTTTTTTAGTATTTCTACATCACACCCTAATGGTTTCAGTGTCAACAAGATGGTATATAGATTGGTTCAGGGTTTATCTATGTACTAGTTTTCTGAGTGTTGCGTCATGAACATTTCTTTATAAAAAACAAGATTGTCCTGGGTGAGGCTCATTCAGCAGGTCAAATGATTTGGTTGATTGGTTTGTTGTCATAATGATATTTATGATTATTCAATTTCTCTCAGTTTGAATTTTAATTCAGCACCCTCATGGTTTGCAATTGAAATAATAATGCCATAATAAAACGCCAACAGAGTCCATTCTGTTGAGGAGCATTTTGTGTGTTGTAATAGCTCGTTTTGTTTGCAAGAAACAGATGAAAAGGAGGGGAGGGGAGAGCATTGGTTGCAATAATTTTTCCTTCATTCGTTTTAAACCAAATAGGAATTTAAGGCACTTGACCTTAGCAGTGTCTTCAACATGGTGAATTCTAATGTAGAAATTATTTCTTAGTTAATAGGTTTAGAGTATCCCTTGTACTTTTATTAATAAAGATTATTTTTTGTTGAGAAAAAAAATAATGGATTCTCTTTCTTTGGGATAAATGGTGGTTACTTAAAATTTGTAGTTGAATTTTAGTTTAATAATACTACTACTTGTAGTATGAGGCAAATTATTGTGAAAATATCAATGGTTACATAAGCATTTCCTTGGAGAAAAAGAAGTTGCAAACAATGACAAGAGCATCAAGAAAAGTAGATCTCTAAGCATAATTCATGTGGAAAGTGGAAGTTCCACTTGGGTTTAGACAACAAAGAAGGATCCTATGCCATGCATCTTGGATGTCACTTAAGAGAGCATCTTTGGCAAGCAGGTAGGAAAGAAGAGGAAAAAGAACACCAATTTGAGGTGCTTCTTCATCAAGTGTTATTTGCGTTTACGTACGGTGGCAGAACCAGAGATTTCGCCTTTAGAAGAGAAAAGGTGCGAGCAACCTTCACTTTCCAATCTCACCAATTTCCTCACAAAATTCTCGCAGTGTCCTAAAGGAAGAAACTTAATAACAGAAATCCATTACAAAATTGCATAATTAGACAACTGATGAACGACATTTTGTTGGCACATATTGCATGCACTAAATATTAGTTACTTATCTTCATAGATAATCTATACTTTTCATTTTGTTTAAGAAAGAAAAAAAGAAAGAAAAGACAAAACAAGAAAATTGCATCCCAATTTGTTGCTCAACATAGGGCATCTTATTACAAATTTTAAGTGAAAGATGAGATAAAAAAGAATCTTCCAGCACCACAACATACATAACAAGTATAGTATTGAAAAACTTGTGTTATTCAGATAGTATTAGATTGCACAATATTAACTCTTAATTTGATTATTATGATTTTGTAATCTATTATAGTCTAAATTATAAAACTATGAACTGATATATAGTAATTTGGCTGAACATAAACTGGCCGCCAGCACCACCACCACCATCAAGTGACAATTTCATTAGAAAACAATCCTTTGAAACAGAGGAAAATTATACATCACTTCAAAATCCAAATCTACAACTTTGTCCCAAGTGGAGAATCAAGTCATCACAGGTTTCTTTTCCTCTGTGATATTAAGAATTTAATGCATGACCTTTCGGTGACCCAAAACCGCACTCACAACTGATTTCCGCAACGTTGGAGTTGGGTACGCACGAAAAAGAGGTGGGCATGTCAACTGGGTCACGGCCTTTGCATTTCTGCCTCTTTTCCAGGTTTTATTTTGTGGATATGATTCATCTCAGATGGATAAGTGGAATTTAATTTTGTAATGGTTACTTGTTCCTTTCTATCCAATTCATTAGAAAAGGCAAAAAGAAATGGTGGATAAGTAGACTTTGGGTATCATATTCTGTGTTCTTGTGTAAAATCTTGTCCCACCGT